TCTTCCACAACATCTTCGTCCCCGCTTTCCTCCTCTAAATAAAAAATGGATGACGGAGGAGACTCATCCATGACCCCCGACACTAAACTCTCCTCCTCTTGCATGTTTCCTCTGTCCATAGCGTTCCTTGACAGTGTCGTTTCTAAGTCACCAATTTAGTCCTACTTGGTCCCAATGGAATTTCCCATCGGGAACCTACTAGCACTAAGTTGCTAACTGGTTAGCAAGATGCTTCCAAAAAACCGGCCACAACCAAACCTTCCACCACAACAATCCCACCCCCTTGATAATCGACCAATCACATTCACTTTATTCACTCATGTAAAGTCGGGCACCACTCAGGAGAATTTGGAAATGTAATCCCTGCTTCCCTGCGACTTTAAACTAGTAATGTCTTAATTTTTTTTTTTTTCAAATCATTCTGTTAAGTGTGGCTGAAAGAAATGTCTGAGAATGTCTTTATAGAATCTTTAATCCTTATTACTTTATCAGTTTTGTTTATTGCTCTGACCGTTGTTGTGTTTTTCTTTCATTAAACAAGGGGGACCAACTATTCTGTCCAGTGACTAGTTGCTGTAGATCAGCTTATTCATATCAGTTGGTCTCCGATTATGCTAAGCTGTCTTTTTATATTGAGGACTTTGCAGGACGATGAGGCTCTATAAAAAAAGAAACCATCTGGCTTTTTCACAGTTCTCCCAGCAGATGGCGCCACATTATATAGAGGCTCAGCACCTGTGGATTCTAAACACTATCAGGGTGGATATTTATCAAGATACATTTTTTTTTTGTATACTCATATGAAGTGACTGTACTTCTTTAAAGGAAGAAAAAAAAGAACAAAAATATTCTTTCAAACTCTATTTAATACTAATGTGTAAGAGCTTCGATCAAAACATTTAATCTAGGCCTAAAACATCATCTTAGCTCTAAGCATCGACATTAAAGACAACCTTCTGCTGCTCTTACTTTTCTGCATTCCTCCCACCAGGATCTTCTGGACCCCTTTGCAAACTTTGAGGATGGCTGCACCCACAAAGGCGATCTCCGACCCGAACCGAAAGCTCTGGATAAAGAAAGCAGAATATTAATTGATGTTTGCAGTTAGAGATACGAAGCGTTAAAGAGGAGGATCTTTTTTAAAGTGTGTGCAAGTTTTCCTACATTTAAAAGAAAGGCTGAAAAAACGTGGCACACTTTCTACCCCATAAATTCTTTCCAGACTTTTGCTTCAGATGTACAAGCCTGTCTAAGAAGTTTTTTACTCCAAATTTCTTTATTTTTAACAAACTATTTATTTTTGCAATTATTCATTGAACACAACCATAATCAAATAAATAGATATCAACTGCTTAGTGTATTTAAATTGTACCTGATTTGAAATGGTTCAAAGAACATTTTTTAAACCCAGCAGTTTTTAAAACTCCTCTACAATCCCTGTGGCTCTGTGGAAACAAAACTCAAACTTCCTTCAAAACGCCATCACAGCAGATATAATATACAAAGACAATATATAACAACATCCTTCAACACTTATTTGATTGCATTTTTTTCCTCCCATTTAATAAAGAAAATAAATAACTTTACAAAACTATTAACACCCTTTGAAACGTTTCCAGGTCAAAATCAAACAAACAGCCGGAAAAAAATGCAAAAAGAAGGAAAACGATGGGTGGAGTTAGATGCATCCATTCTCCAACACCTGAATCAGATCAGGTGTTGGATTCAGGTGTGTTGGAGAAGAGATAGATCTGAAAGTTGAGGGTATTTGTTCCCTTCAGGAGGTGAACCTTCATCCAGTTTTGATATTTTCTGGAGTCTCTAAAACGTTTGCTTCCACCACTGCCCATTGTTTACCTCCATCTGGTTTTTCTGCTCCAGCTGAATCAAAAACCTCCCCACATCATGATGCTGCCACCACCTTGTCTGTCAGTTTTGTCTCATCAAATCTGTGCTTCTTTTTCCACATATTTATTGAAACCCATCATAGTTTCTTTGAGTGAAAAATTACAACTGTGTGAATCTCACTGTGAAACTGTATCAAGGGGAAGCTGAATATATTATGAGAGCTGCAGGACGGTTTGCTGGTACCTGAGTGAGGTAATAGATGTGTGAGTGGCTAGCTGAGCGGAGGGAGTTGACCGCCCCTTTGAAGGTGTAGATCTGCTGGTGGGGGTCTCCAACCAGGATCTTCCCACAGCGCTGGGAAAGCAGGACGTCCATGATGGCTGAAAGGAAGAACAAAGCTCTTAAGAACCATACTTCAGTATGAAGCTGCCAAAAGTTCACACGCAAAATAAAAACTGTTGCAAACAGGTTTATTTAAAACAATTAATGTAAACTAGTCTCCACATGCCTGTTGAATGTTTTATACATGCAGATTAAACACCATGAGGCTCCCGGTATCTCATAATTCAGTGTTTCCCATTAATGAACGAGACTAGACAGAGAGAGAGAGAGAGAGAGAGAGAGAGAGAGAGATGGTCAGTGGCGGTTCTACTCCCCGGGTGAGACCCACTCCAAGCGCCAGTTCTATTTTTTTCAAAGCGCGCATCCCGCCCTCCTTTATAAAAATGCCGCAGGGTTCACCCGTGCAGTGTTGCCAACTCAGCGACTTTTTTTGACTTTTCAGACCCCTCCAGCGACTATTAAAAAAAAAAAAAAAACAACTAGAGACAAATCTAGCGACTTTCCTGGTGTCACTTTTGGAGACTCTTGTATGAAAGCACGTATCGTTCCTACTCTTGTCCTCCAGCGGCAGGTGCTGCCATGAGGCGCCTCCCCCGTCCCAACCCTGTTCTCCCGCTTCCGCAGGAAAACCTCTCAGCGCATGTTATTTGGTCTAAAATAAATAACTGAATTTGAAATGTTTTATGTTAAATAACGGCATTTGATTCACACAGCAACAGTCACTTAATGAACTTCTCCATTGTGTTTTCCTCTCTAAGAGAATGATTTGAAGGCTCAGTGGACAAGGGGAAAAAAAGTAAAAAAAAAAAAAAAAAAAGTGGCTTAAAAAAATGCACTTAAAGGGGAATTCCGGTTTTTTTTTTTTTTAATTTACATTGGGCCCTTGATTTTACATTATTACATCATGTTCTACTCACCCATATGAGTTTTGTGTCATTTGGAGCTGTTCTGAAGATATTCAGTTTGGTTATATCCAAGTAACGTCTTCCTATGGGCAACGAGTTGAATACACAAACTAAACTGTTCATAATTTATTATTTATGGTACGCCAGCATTCATAACATGTAGGCGAATCACTGTCCCTCAGACATCCGCAGTTATATTTTTTATATTTATATTTTTTTTAAACAAAGAGGAGTGTGTATGACGTCATCCGCACATGCAGACTGGAGTTGTGACAGGCAGCCCGGGTCACAGGCGGCTACGCTCTACCCCTTCTATTCATTCTAGCTAATCTGAATCATTCAATTCCATTTAGAGAACGAGATCATCTGTGGTTGTAGCACTGGACATCTTCCAGGCATGTAAGTAAAACTAGCAGCAGTTCAGCAGACAGGAAGAATGAAAGGTAGCCGGCGAGCGTGGATGACATCATACACGCACCGCTTTCTTTAAAAAAAATATAAATATAAAAAATATAACCGCGGATGTCTGGGGGACAGTAATTCGCCTACATGTTATGAATGCTAACATGCTATCAATTATGAACAGTTTAGTTTGTGCCGTTAAGTCTGTGCACATAGGAAGACGTTACTTGGATAAAACCTAACGGTTGCACAATGTCAACTTTTTTAACCTATATGGCTCTGGTTCACCCTCAAAAGACTCTTTCCCATTGAAATTAGCAGGTTAACATCCTTAACATCCAGCTGAGATCCACTAACAATCAGCATTTGGTGCTCTTCACATTGCCACAAAAAAACTGCTGCCTGTCTGTTGATGATGTGAACAGTGAAAAATGAAATCAGGAAAGTAGACAATGTAGAGCAGCATGGAAGGGCAACGTTTGAAAGTGATTTTAACCTGGGTTGACACACGTCAACAGCTGCTGGTTCCCGGGTTTAAACAGGCTTTTTGGCCAGTGGGAAAGGGGTAAAAGTGACCAAGACTGACATGGTGGAGCCAAATAGCCAGAAGAGAATCTACAGGCGCATAAAAAGCAGGAAATTGCATAGAAGGAGCATGGAGTCAGGATTGATTTATAAGAGGCCTTAGGGTGCTGATTCAGTCTGCATAGAACATTAGAAATGTGCCTGGAGAGTATTTTAATGCCTTTCACATCAGAAGGAACCTAAAGTACCTGGTGTGCAGTCCTGAGCCTCATCGATGAAAATGACATCGTATCGGTCAGACAGGCAGGGCTTTGGGTTTCTGAGCTGCCATAACTTCAGGTAACCTGGGAAGGAAGGAATACAGCTTCAATCTGAAACCATTTGTTTTTGCCTTAAGATGCTTTTGTCGTTATAAGTCATAGTTGCTGCACCATCATGAGGCATGTAGTAGGCCTGTTTTGATTTCTCCTTAAGGTCCTTCATTTTGTTCCAGATCGCCTTTGCCTCTTCAATAAAAAACTGGAAAAAAAGAAAATAACACACACGACATTGATGCAAACATTAACAGGTTTTACTGAACAAGTTAGTTGAAGGATCCTCACCCTTTGCTCATCAGGCCCTATGACCTGCCTGTAGCCCTTGTTGACGGCGTAGTCATAGGGGACGTGCTGTGGGCCGATGGCCGGGTGTGCCGAGGCCATGAAGGAATTCAGAATTGTAGCCACCACTTTAGCTCTGCTGAAGCCTGCGGCCCCAGGAGTCAGAGCAAAATTGATGGAGAACGCATTCACGTTGAAGGTGAGCTTTTTGTTAAGCGCATACCTGCGACACAGAAAGAGACACACAGCTGAGTCCAAACGAAGCTGATCATGTCGAGTCCCTAAATTTACAGCAACAGCAAACAACAGTGAGTTTAACTCATGGGGGTTTCCCGAAAGAGGTTTACCAGTTCAGCTGATTAATGCTGAATTAAACACTTTAAAAATGCTAGGAAACAATCAAAACGATGCAGAAAAACAAGAAGTGGAACAATTTTTTTTTTTCATCAATAATGTTTAGCATTTAGTTTTATTTCATTACAAACAGGCAACAGAAACTACTGATTGTTATTGAGAAACAGACTGAGATGAGTAAAAATAAAGCAGGAGTGGGGAGAGCCTTTGTTGCTGAAAAGACAAAAAAAAAAAAGTCAAAACTGCAAATATCGAATCATTTGATGACATTACTTGTTAAATAATGGCCAAAGGTATAGTGGAGGATTTTCTTTTTCCGGGTGGATCATCAAAATAAGTGGTCCCCTTAATTTTCATTCATTCTGGTGATATGTTTAGGTAAGGCCGTCCTACGCGCTCCCATCGTCCCCATTCCACATTGACATAGTGGAAAAGTAAGCTTGTGTGAGCGATGCAAGCAACAACTTTTAAACAGAGCATGCACGAGGAGAAATGGGCTGGTGCACGCTCTAACACGTGTTTAAAGGAATAGTACACCCAAAACATGATTAGCCTTCATTTTCTACTCACCCCCATGCTGAACAACACTCTGGAGTACTTTTTTGATATCTCAAATGCATCTGGAGATCTGGGAGGCTTCTTGCTGTCTGCTGACATTCAAATAATGGAGGTCTATGGCGCCCGAGACAGAAAGGTCCATAAAAGTCCACAAAAAACGTGTCAATATTCCTCCATACTGCTCGTCCAATGTATTCCAAGTGTCCTGAGTGGGTAGCATCCAGAATTTACTCGAAACGAAGTCATTTAGAATGTTTTTGGAGCATAAACAGTAGTGTATAGGATTTCCTAAAAGCGCGTTCACGAGTCTACGGAAACCGAGGCAGACCAAACCAGATGAAAGTGCGCATTCAGCGTCTGCTCTGCCGATAATGCAAGCGTAGAAGAAGAAATGTGCTGTTTACCTGTGCAAAGAAAGAAACAACGAAAGAAAAATGTCTGAGGACTTCAGTGTTGAGGAAGAGCGTGAGTTCTTTGCCGAGCTGAATGCGCACTTTCATCTGGTTTGGTCTGCCGCGGTTTCCGTAGACTCGTGAACTCGCAGGCGCGCGCTTTTAGGAAATCCTATAAACTACTGTTTATGCTCTAAAAACATTCTAAATGACTTCGTTTCGAGTAAATTCTGGATGCTACCCACTCAGGACACTTGGAATACATTGGACGAGCAGTATGGAGGAATATTGACACGTTTTTTGTGGACTTTTATGGACCTTTCTGCCTCGGGCGCCACAGACCTCCATTATTTGAATGTCAGCAGACAGCAAGAAGCCTCCCAGATCTCCAGATGCATTTGAGATATCAAAAAAGTACTCCAGAGTGTTGTTCAGCATGGGGGTGAGTAGAAAATGAAGGCTAATCATATTTTGGGTGTACTATTCCTTTAATAGGCCTCTTGGGAGCGGGTACAGGGTTGTCCATGTGCATTTTTTTTAAAAGTGGAGAGGACAGGTCTTTTCAAAAACTCGTCAAAATCCTCCATTATAGCCTTAAGTAAATTTGTTTTTGAGCAAGAAGAAAAAACCTGCAGATTTGATTAGGCACTAAAGGCCTTTATTGTTTTTAAAGTGAGCAGACAGGAAATGGGACGGATAGAAGTGGGAACCAGTGACTTAGGCCTCCCTACATGATAGGCTGAGCCCCTGCCCCACCGCCATGTCCCGTTTTATAGGTTTTATAGAAAAGTTTTAACACCTCTGGTCCAAATCCTTATAAAGCCTGAATTTCACGTTCCTTACCTCCTCCCGACATCATTGTAGGCTAAGGAATGGGCCGTCTTGCAGTCCACGTTGGGAGGGAAGCGGCGTCGCGCCTCAGAGGCCACCGAGTGGTTAAAAGCTACATAGAGAAAGCGAAGGTGCGGACGCTGCTCGGCGTATTTCACCAACGTGGTCGTCTTTCCTGTACCTGTGACATATTTAAAAATACTGCTTCAATAAACAAAACAGTAATAGCATGGAGCAAGATAACAGTCAATAAAAATGTACGCCATTGTGCTGAATTTGTAAATGTGTCCATAAACGTGAAGTAATATAAGATTTGTATTTGTCCCTTGCTGTTAACTCCTACCTACATGTAACATCAGAGTTTCACCTGTGAAAAGTTCTGAACACAAGTTAAGCAGAAGGCAGAAGAAGGACAAATCATGAATTCAGGGGCTGTAGAAGTGTACTTGTAATTGACGATTTATACTCGTAAGTTTGTGATTTAAACTACAGTTGCACTGATCTGAGTATCGGATCAGATCCAGCATTCCGATCCAGTCATTTCTAGTTTCACTGATATCATACAGAGCAATACAGCGATATAAGCACTACAATTCTTTGATTGCAGAGCTAATGGTTTAATCTTAAGAGAAGCTAGTGAGGTTTTATATCTGTTTCCATGTCTTACTTTAGTTTTTTGCACCAATGTTTATGTCACATGGCGAGGTAATATGGTTAATTCATTTGACATTAGTATTAGCTCGGTATCCCCCAATACACTCAGCCAATGTATTGCTGTCCGATTGGGTTAAAAAAAAACAAAAAAACAAACAAGCATGCATTTCGGTTCAGAAGTTCCCACGCTGTTTGCCATATGTGGCGTCAAGCACCTCCATGATCAATGGGTCCAGCTGGGAGCAACACTTTTAATTCTTTTCTACGTCTCTGCATGGCAGGAAAGATGGCCGTCTCTAGGTGATGTCATAAAATGATTACAACCTCTGACAGCAATGCATTCCCAAAAATCCTCTCCCTGTTTCTAATCAGATGCAAGGTCCATGCTAGCTGAATATATCTACTTCCTGTTTATTCTGACAAAATGATACTTTTCCTAAAACCTGGTTGATTCTCTCCAGACCAGGAGACAGAAACAGACCTGTTCAGTATTGGCTTTTTAGAAACAGTTTGAAAGTTCAATTAATATTTCATCGCAATTAGATGCAAAGTTAACTGATTTATTGGGAGGTGCAGCCAAACAGCCCCATCTGAGACTGCTGCCTCAGATGAAGCCGTTGGAGGAACTAAATGGCTTTTCTATCCCACCTCCATAAATGATCAAGAATTACAGTTGCAGAACGATCACACTGCAAGCCGCACTCAAGTCAGAGTCCTGCACGGCTCTGATTTTTCAAAATTGACCCCATCCATAGAGTTCAGACCCAAGACCTGACGCAATACCTGCAATTATCCTCAATTAAATCCTGTCCCAGTATAATGAACTACAAACCTTGGAGGGGGGGGGGGGGTCGATACATTATACATCAAGGAGAGATGGGACAAGGAATGGGGACATATCAAATTCACAATAACTGTTGGAAGTGTACATCATCACTAACGTATAGAGAATTTGCTTGGAAGACTGCTACACGCTTCTGGCTCAGAGGGGCTAAAATGCAGATAGAACGTGCTGGAGGTTATGTGGGTCGAATCAAGCTGGCCATTTTCATATCTTATAGAGCTGTCCAAAACCACTTTCTTACTGGGAAAAAATTAAACAAAATGTGGAGACAGTAATTGGGGATAATTTTGTCTCGAACTTTGAGATCATGGTCTTGGGGAAACGTCCAAACTGTGTAAAAGGATTCTATAAAACATATATGTTCAACATAATGCTAATCGCCAGCAAGAAAGCAATCACTCGGAAATGGATGACTGATAAGACTCCCACAGTTGAAGACTGGATAAGCAGCATTCAAGACATTTACAAGATGGAGGAACTGACATTTGCACTGAAACTGGAACAAGACAAATTTGAAAAATGTTGGACTCCATGGCGGACTTTCTTGGACACCAGACTTGTACATAATGACAGTGATGTGAAACCCGTAGTTCCTTAGCTACTTGGTTCGTTTTAGAACATTTGTTTTACGGTTTGTAAAAGTTACTCAGTGGTAACACTGCTTTGTTCATTCTTTTTCCTCCCCGCTCCTCTCAGAGGAATCGGGTTGGAGAAGTAGGAAAGACAAAAAAAACGGAACACTAAATACCTGATAATCACATGAGGTGGTATGTTGTATGGATCAATATAAAAAACGGAATGGAGGATTTTACAAGACTATACTGCCTTTTGTGAACAGATGAACTGCACATTCTATATGTTGTTCTTAATAAAAATTTGAATATAAAAAAATTCTTCCCAGATCCCACGGACCCGTGAATAATAAACTGTGACCCAACCCATGATCATAAATTGTACACAGCCGTTTTCAGCTGTTATTAGCGGTTATCAGTCCCAAAGAATGGCTTCAAATTTGTGCCTCCTACCTACCAGTAGGCTCAGTAGGTTGTTATCACTGAATGAATCCTAACACTAACCCTAACGTAATTCATTTTTTCCCAAAGAAATAATTAATGTGTTTGTGTTTAATGTAAACATGATTTTAGTAGTTCTTCCTCTATTGTGAAAAAAAAAGAACGTTGATCGGCATGTACCTCATATAAAGCGTATCATATCAAGCCCATAAAATCTCATATCCTGTAAATTGAGTTGTTTTTAAACACCACATTAAATCTGTGTTACTAAAACATGTGGAATTCACTTGAAGCAAAGCTTTATTAAACAAGGAATGCTGTAAATAAAGTAGATAAAAAGTATGTAAATGTAAAGTGAAACTTAAGGTTTTAGACGTGGCCAGAGCAGCTATTATCCACAGTGAGCTGCATATCATCAGCCATAAGAACCTACTAGAAGGTAGAGGAGGTGCAGCCTGGAGCCATTCTATGGGACTGATAATCACTAAGAACATTTAATGATTGATCACATCTGAAACCGGGCCATCTGGGACCGTTTATAATAACAGAGACAGTAAAGAACATATCCTCACGTTCACATCCAGTACACGCTGTGCTCACAGATTAACAGCTGTAAATTGGCTGAAGTATGAAGTTTTTTTTTGACACCCCCACATTTCATATACACTCGTGCCCAAATCCCCTCTAGAAACAAAAAAGGCCCTAAAAGGGAGCATCTAATAGAGTTTTGAGAGTTTTATTAGTGATTTTAACTATTAAAATTGCTCTGGTTCTGCAGCAGACTGTCTGATCTGAGGAGGATCTACCTGTACAAAGGAATCAAACATATCCTTTTCTGTTGAACCGGTTATGGAGATTATCTTTAAACTAAACAATTAAAATTATTCACCTTTCCCCGCTATCCCAAAATAACAGAATCAATCACACTACCAGTATTTCCAAATTCAGACTCTAGTGCAGAAGTCTAACTGGAATGAAGCTCATTCGACGTTGAATTAAGGTGGAAACAACATTTGGCTACGATTTCTAACAGTTATTCTGAGGTGATGGTTAGAGCGGATCACAAAAAGCCCTAAAACTGGCAGCTCAAAAATGTTTTACATTTCTGTGGTAATCTTTTGATCGAAGATGTTATTTTACTTTTAATTCTAACTTTCGAGGTTTTTGAAACCAGTCAACCGATCTTCAAGTTAATAAAATAAACATAAAACAGAAACTTAAATGCATAACAATTTTAACACAGTGAAGATGAACTGATTACCTTTACAGCTGACATTGAGGATATATAAAAAATCATTAGATAGTAGAGTGGTAGCTAGATTGTAGGAAACAGAAAGGGCGCCCCCTGGTGGTTTAATTTATTAGCAGCTCTTAGATTATGTTTCAGATTAGATTAATTAATTTCTCTGTAATAAACTGAACCTTTACAGTTATTAGAATCGTTTTGTCATCAATAATTTCCCCCCATAGAAATGGAATTCAAGCATAAATAAATACATGAAACAAAAGCTCAAACTAATTCTGAAATCCACCGTTCCACAATGGAGCTGTATGATGACCTTTGTTAGGATAATTATCTTTGTTTATTACACCTTATAATTAGCTGCCTGTTGCATGTCAGAACTGATGTTTTCCACAATAGTTTATCTAATTAAGACAGTTCCTCTGTCCGGATATACAGCTATAATATTTATTCTGTACGTTGATATTTGGAAATGAAATGAGAGTGGTGTTCTTCAGCTAACAACGTGTAATATAATATTAAGTGTAATATTTTGATAAGGCTGGAGCCATGGATGTTTCCTCATCTGCTAACATATATGATGTAATGATGTGGCAGACTGGGGATGTATAAAGTGCCTTTTTAACTGTTAATTGTGGCCACTTCCTGACAGGTGAGCCCAGAGGTGAGCAGCTGCCTTCTGTAAACTCTAAGCAATTTCTCTGATCTGAGTAAGATTATAATTTATATCAAAATCTGTTGTCATGTCTCCTGGTTAATTAATTCAGATAAGTTATGAAGTGTTATTTAAAGAGTTTGTCCCGAGTGATCTCTTTTCAGGGAAAAGAACCGGTAAGAATAAGCATTCAGTTAAGACTAAACAGTAAAAAGAATTAAAACCAACAATAAAAAACCGTACCTGCGAACGCCACTATCTTGACCACATGATGGCTCTGGATGTCATGGCTGAGGATCTCCTGCTGCTCTCGTGTGAGCTGAATCTGAGGGATTCTATCAAAAACACAGACATTCAAGTCAGGACGCCGTTAGACCCGATAGCTTTCCACAACTGGTAATCAGAATACTTTAATAATCCCAGAGGGAAATTACTTTTGTTACACGCTCCAGTTACAGTTTTATATATATATTAGGGGTGGAACGATTCACAAAATCCATGGTTCGGTTCGTGGTCACGGTTTTAGTAATCAGTTAATTGTTAAATGGAGTATAGAGACTCTAAAACAGGCCTTTAGCTGACAGCAAAAGGCCTGTTTTAGAGTAATAAAAACATGTGTAAACATTTTGCATTTACGATTTAAAAAAAATTCCACTATTAATATTCTGCATCCGGAACTACTCAAGTGGAAAAGTTTTAGTTTCCCCCTTTTTTTTTTGTAAAAAAAAAAAATCGTCTTTAAGGAAGCTTTTGCTGTCCAATTATTAATTGATTAATCGAAAAAAATATCTACATGATCAATTTTTTTGCAAAATAATCATTAGTCGCAGCCCTAAATAAAAGCTTATGTTTTCTAAACTGCAGATGTCAGATGCAGTGTGACATTTAACTAGCCCCCCATCTCTTTCCTTTTTTTGCTGTGCTCTCATATTGGAAGCAGCCATTAATTTCTCTTCTTATTATGCAAAATGCATATTAGACTGACGCAGCGACCTGCAGCTGGGTTGGAATCTACCCACCAGAACAGCAACATTTCTCCTGCGTTTGTTTGGACAAAATTTTTGAACAATATTCTGGCTATTAGTTTTTCCATAAAAGTTCAAAACATATCCACTGGACTTGAGTTTGAGTCTTTATATAGACAAGGCTTTGTCTATATAAAGACTCAAACTCACTGCAGATCCAGACATTTGAATTGAGAAAGCTTCCTGGAAAGGTGGCAAAACGTCTTCAAATCTTGGAAACCAAGTCCAGAGGATATTTTTTGAATTTTTACGGAATGACTATGACCTGGATGACTGAGAATCTTCATCAGCATATTCTGGCTATTAGGTTTAGCTAGACAGAGCTGCTGTATGGGAATCCTCCCTACAGCCACTCCACCTCATTAATGTGCAAATAAGGAGAGAAATGTGTTGAAAAACAGCCCGTATGCTCGTGAAGTTGGACCAGCTAGAAAAGCGAGGTGCGTGAGAACGCTGGGACCCTATTTCCACCTGGATCCCTGCTCTTTTTGGCCCTCATGTCCCTCCGATGTCGCACAAAGTTGCCCCTTGCATTTTTCCTTTTTTTTTTTCTCAACAGTTAGTTCCTGATTGTCCCTGTTGCGTTGTGGCGTGGAATAACAAAGCGCAGACCACGCTTAAATAATGGGCTTAAATCAAAAGTATCTGCATCAAGCTAACTGCGACACATTGCTGTGAGAGGATAACCACACCTATAGATGTGGAGGACTTGTTATTCTGTGGGCCTGGAGGGTTTCTACAATTTAACATTGTTTGGCTGGAAATAGATTTTTTTCAAGATAAAACTTCTAGAGCAACCAAAGATGGATTATTTATGGACTCACCCGCTCTGGCCAGAACTGACGGAAAAAGGACCGTTTTCCATCAAATGAAGAACGTAGTAGATGTTGTAATGCAACCTGAAAAGGCAGAAGGAAAAAGAAAGCAGGTCATGGATGGTTGACCAGAAGTGCCTCTTAAAGATCAACCAATCCGTTCACAGGTCTCACCTGAAGTTAATCTTGATTTTGTTCCTTTCCATCGCGAGCAGCATGGTGGCCATGTGGCTGAGGTACTCTGTGATGGCCTTTCGTGACATGCAGTGTGAGAGCAGAGAGACCAGGGTCTGCACGTCACCCACGTTCTCACTCAGGACCAATATGACGGCCATGGCGGCGTACGGGTTCAGACCCTGCAGATCAGGGTCAGATCAGGATCGTTCTCACAGCAGAAAAGACCTCATCTAGTTCCTGAATGTGTGACGGAGTCGTACCTCGCTGCCGAGGTTAAGAAACCTCTTGATGTCAGGAATGCGTAACCTGACGGAGGCTTCGGCCTGCGGGAAAAGACGATGTTTCTTTACGCAGGCCAGGACGTCTTCCGGCACCACGCGCTCTCCGACTTTATGCTGAGCCATTAACCTTCACAAAGCAGCAGAAATAAAGACATAAATAAAAACAAAACGATTCACCGGGGAGCGTGTTTTCTGGTCAGCAGACTCACACCACCAGGCTGCGGATGCTGTGCTCTGAGGGCGCGGGGCTGCTGATGTTGCTGTTTTTCAGCGTGGAGCAGATCTCCTGCACCGTCTCCTTTTCATTCATCATGTAGCGATAGTACTGCTTCTTAAAAGGCACAAACTGAGACACAGAGCAGTGAAAGAATTAAAGGACTGGTTGGAACGTGGAACCTCATCTTTGTTTCTCGGATGAGATTTTATTTAAATCTGATGACATGAACTTTTTTTGCTGAGCTTCAACTCTTTTTATGTAATTCGATATTGTAATATGTGGAGAAACACTGAATAAAAACTCAAAAAATATCAAAGCTCTTCTTTAACCAACTAAAAAACCCTCTTATAAAAAATTGTTATAAATTTAAGTTGTTGAGAGGTTTAACCGATAAGAAACGAGCAGTATTATCTGATCAACTGTCTGACTGGAAAACTCTTCCCCAAACTCAGTTTTAGATCCTCGCTGCTCAGACTTTTGTCTTCAACCTCCTGAACACTCAGAGCACCAAGCTAGCTTTTATTAGCTTAGAACCTTCAATCAAAGGTCTAATCTTCCTGATGATGACCTGCTCCATTCGGCAAACATGTCCCTTTGTTTGGGATTCATTTTGTACTTTAGTTAAAGTGACATCATAAACTCTTTACTGTAAACTGAAGCTGTAACTGCATGGAAAGCTGTAGGATGATTTGTTCACCTTAGGGTCCAGAACGATGTTCCTCCAGCAATGGCACACCAGGCTGACGCTGCGATAGAGGTCTGAAGCAGGGACCAAACAGAGCACCTCCCTCAGCACCTCCTCTGGAAGGTCATCTATGCAGCCCTGTGGTTGGAGCAACACCTTTCCGCTGCCAATCAGTCCAAAGTGGGCATCAGGAAGAGGCTCCACCTCCTCCTCTTCAAACTCCTCGTCATCTCCAAACATCTCTGCCGTCATCCCCTCCAGATAATCCGTCGTTGCGGTGTCTCCCAGCTGGGCATTAGCGGGGGGGATCTCCTCAGCCTCTGGGAGACTTTCAGCAGCCAGCAGACTATCGTCATCGATCTCATCTGCTTCCTCTGCTACAGGTTTAGCTTCAATCGGAGTAGCCAACAGGCTGACGTCATCGTCTTCCTCTTCTTCTTCTTCAGGTATGACCCAAGAGCCAGGGGGGGGTTTCGATGTAGACGGCGCACAGGGTTTGTTCGGACTGGAACTTAGAACTTTTTCTACAGAGTAAAAGTCGTTAATGGCCTTCTGTCGCCCAGACGGACTTCCTATAACGGATGCCGCTGAAGGAAAGATTAAAAAAAAACACAAACATAATTTTTTTTTCTACAAATGCAAACAAGATGTGGTGAAACCAAAACATATAGCTTTAATATGTTTAGTTTTTGCAAACATAAAAAAGAACCTCTTAGAGGGTTTATGTTTATTAGTTTAACACTTTAGTAAAATGTCTTTCTACAAATTACAGAGATAATCACCATCCGTGCTCCAAACAGTCTGCAGCAGGATGCTCACATCTGATTACCTTTCCTTCGTTGCTTTCTGGGGGTTCTGGGGTAAAGCCCCCTGTTGGGATCTCTGCTGCCATGCGACGTCTGGGGTCTAGTGAGGGGATCGGCTCCATCCTCACTTCGACCCAGCTCCTCACATTCTTGTGCGTTTAGACGTTTCCTTTTGGCCCTCCCTGTAAACACAAATAATGTAAATAAATCACACTGCCTTTGGATTTGCCTCTTCAGGGTATTTTTTAGAAAATATAAACTTTACAGCATTTATTTATTAGTACAGTTAGCTCTTCAAAGTGTGCAAACCAATCTTTACATTCTTAGGAAACATGAAGCCATGACAGATCCTTATTGGAGAAAAATTGACAAGTCAGCCAGCTTTTTTTCTATCAATTTGTCTATTTTTTTAATAACAATTATTGTTATCATGATACACTTCTTTTCCTGATGAGAACCTTGATTTATGATCTAAATAATAAATCAGAATTTATGCTGAAAAGTTGAAGTATCACGTCTTTCTTTTTTCTTTCCTTTTGGTTTTGTATTGGGGAGTTGACCTGTTCAAAGAAATGATTACATTAGTTCACTGTGGGATGTTTAGAGATTTTTAGGGATGTTTATGTAACTGGTGTCCTGAAAAACCCAAGTTTTAAATGTGTATAGTTTTCTGCAGTGATGTTTGTGGAGCTATAATTGCTTTGGTATGCATTCATAGCCACACATGTACCTGGAAAAAAAATATGTGAATAGGTAATTATCTTCTTTTTTTTAATCCTCATTTTAATCGTTATCATGACAGAACCTCAAAATATATCCATATAACCTAGCCCTAGTTTTGTGTAACATTTATTGCAATCCATTTTATGTACTATTTATTTTTATATAGAGGAAGAGATGCCAATAAAATCAGCAGTACCTATCAGGGATCGACTGGATTGATGTCAAAATAATCTGCATCCGTTTTAAAAAACAAACTACATCGGTTGATCTCTAATCCTTAATAAGCTTGTTCCACCTTTATCATAGAAAATCCTGAATTACCAAACTACAAAACAAATTTGTTGAGGGATTGTATTAAATAAAATGGTTGCAGGAGGTAATAGTAATTGTATGAAGAAGCTTTAGTTTAAATTTCAGTAGCAACATAATGTCTCCCACCCCATGTACGAAGCTGTTGCTGAACTGGAGAGCTCCTTCAGTGACAGACTGCTGCACCCTAAATGCACCAGGGAGCGTTATCACAGATCCTTCTTTCTAGTGGGAACCACCATTGTTTCCAAGAACCTCAATAAGTTGTTACATTAGGGCGTGCTTTGGTGGTGCAGTGGTTAGAGCACAAGACCCATGTATGAAGCATTAAATCCGACCTGTGGTCCTTTGCTGAATGTCTCT